CCGGCCAGTGCTTATCACCTCCATGTCCATGTCCTTAAGTCACCAGGAAAAATAACAATATTACCACTAGTGAAACCGATTCCCTTTACAACCAACAGGAAAACATCTGCCCCAGTGGTTGTCACCAATAGTACCAGTAGTGAAACCAGGGAAAAATAACAACATATTCTTGAACAAATGAAAGCTAGGCCTAGGCTTGAAGGCATTTGCCGGAAGAATCTGCGTTGGATTTCAGCTCATTCAGTCCTGATCAAGACACATTTGAACATGTGGCACAACGAGGCCCTCTTGGTCATTGATGACATGTTCTACTCCGGAGCATCCGGGCAGGCTGTGTAGCTACAAACCCCACTGTGGGATTCATGCATCTTTTGCACCACCATCACTGGGTTGTTATTTTGACGGCTTTTGTGGGTTATCAAAATCAGCAAATGGTGTGTGTGTGTGTGTCTCTTTCACCTGCCACTTAGCAGGTGACTTGGGGTCAGGATCATGGCTTGAAACTCAGAAGATCTTGGGACTTTGGTTTCGATACCATGAGACTTAAAGCAGTCAGCAAACGTGATGCTTGTCAAATGGATTTTCACTTCCAAGTTGACCGCAGAGTTCATATTCAGAATGACCTTCAATTGATATAGCCTATATCATATACAACCTAAAGATCCGCATACAACAAACACCTATGTATATACACATATATATATATATATATGCAGATATGAAACTTAAAGCAGTACATCCGAATAGCTATGTGTTGTAAAATGCAAAGAGTCGCCCCAACCAAAATATTGCTGTGGCTCAAAACTCATGCTCCATTTACCCAGAACCCATGCGGGGATTTCAAAGGGTTGGGTTGCAGAAAATTCAGCAGGAAAACAGCTTCTTTAGGTTGTTTTGGGCTCATTTGCCGCAGATTTTCCTGTGGCAGAATCATGGCACCCAGCAGCTCGCCTAGCAGAATCCTCCGCGAGTATGGCTGTGATGAGTGGCCACTCGCCCTCAACCACATTCGCGCTGCTGGCAGGAAACCTAGGTCATGGAACCCAGCATAGGGCCCCGTCCAAAGGAATATGTGTTTTTTTCAGAACTTTCCAGGTTTCTTTTCTCGAAACATGCTTTGTTTCCACTTTTTTTCAGGGTTCCATATTTTTTTTGTGTGGGATACCTGAAAAAAATCAAGTTGGAAGTTGGGAACATTGCCTTCGCGCTAAATTTTCTATTCCAAAGTTGCACCTTACTGGTGGTGTCCGTTGAAACTACCACTTTTGGAAGTTCCAAAAAGGGAAAGGGAGGAACTTCTGCCAGAGGGCCCCGTTAGCGTTAGGAACATAGTCTTCGGGTCAGTCAGGGTTCCATGGACAGGAGCTCCCTTGGGATACCTGGAAGCCTGGAAGACCAAGTTGGGACCATTGCCATCCTTTAGGATAAGTACCTCACCTGGGAAACCCAGAAAACCCTAAAAATCTTGGGTGTGCCTTGTTGCAGGGACCGGATCAACTTGTGTGCAAACTTCTTTTAAAATCCGGGAAAAAAAAAAGAAGAAAAAACAAAAAATCGGGGTTGACAGTCACAAAAAAAACACCAGCATTGACACAGCGGACAAACAGGCCGATGACTGCACACCAGCACTTCTTAACAAAACGCCCCCAAGAGCGCCCCAAACAGCGCACCCAGAGCGCCCTGTCCGTCAATCTCACAAAAATGCGCCCGCACCGTCACCAGCACCTCAAACAGCATCCCCAAACAGCACCTGCACCAGCACCGCAAACTGCTTGCCCCCCAGCAACCAGCCGTCAATCTCGCAAATCACTTCTCCCTCTTTAGAACCCGTATGGCTTTCAGCTATCTGGGGAACAATCCTAGTCTTAGACATAATTATTGATGGTACTGGCAAATGATAGTAGATGGTTGGAAACCTGAAACCAGCCAAACCCATCTACTATGGGCACCTGTAGCAGGCCTTCTGTTCAGATTAGTTGGCCTATCTCCAAGAGGAAACCAGTAGTACGTTGGGAGGGCACAAACTTTGTTTCCAATAAGCTAAGATAGCCTGAAGGAGTGTAACCCCAGGACAATGTCCTTCCTTGGTTTTGGCAAGCTCGTGGGGCGTCTGATAGCATTTTGACCATATATGGTACCCTTGTTGGTCTGGGCCTTTAACCTCCCTTGAGAATCACGCCCTACAATCACTTCCTAGACGGCTGCCTAGTTCGTGCGCCGTTCCTACTCGGTTGCTCACAGGGGCAAGAAAAAACCGGGAACTCATCTAATCATGAATCGTTAAGCGATTTCCCCGGGCTCTTAGCTTCCTTCTGTACTCGTGCTAGGAAACACCACTACACACATGCAAGCCGTAGGGGTGCAGGTGATGGCAGCGTTCGTTTGTCGTAGTTCTGAATATTCACAAGTATTTCCCACACTATGATTGCTGTAAGTACCTACACCACTACATAAAGGACCCCGACGGGGGGCGATGGGGAGGGGCTATCCAGTATTAACCCCTTAACAAGGCCTTCTTAAGGGCTTATCCTTGGCATCTCCTGGGCGTATTCAGGCATAGCCCCCCCAAAGCCCCCCCCAGGGGTCCCCGATGATATGTTCGCTCTTTGCAAGTTGGGCGCACCAGCAAAACGAAAACGAAGCCAGGTATTGGCAACCCTTAACGGGGGATCGCGCAAACGGGGGTTAGGGGCTCTCTGATTTACCGCCGGTATCAGAAGGGTCGGCTGTGCGTGTCACAATCCGATCCACACGAGCGCTCAAGGCTTGGCTCCTGGCGAGACACTTCCGCGATCTGGGGTGCTGCCGCGACCCTGGTGGGTGTTTGATGCATGTGCTGGGCTGGGGACAAGACGCCGCAAGCTAAGAGCTATGCAATGCACAAACAGGCCCAAGTTATCATTATATATATATATACCTTGGAATAGACTTGGCTCATGTCTGAACCAGAAAGAACAAATAGATACATGAGTGCAAAATGAAAGCACTGAACGCGGCATGGGGTCGGGCGGCTTTTTGTCGGAGCTGCACCCTTTCCCTCTGCTGCTGTGTCCGCTGTTTCGTCTGCTTACTGCTGCTGCTGCAGGCGTTGCTTCGAGGGTGGTGTGAGATTCTCTTTCTCTCCTTACGCAAAGCGGACCGTCATCTTGTCGGTGATGGCAAGTGTTTCCTTGTTGCCATGTCGACAGTGCAAAGCCTGTGCTTACTGCTCTTTCTGTACCGTGGCAAACTACTCATTCACTGCTTGGCATGAACATGGAAGCTTGCCTGGTTCATTGCCAAATCGCACAGACACAAATCCACTGAATCTATCATGTGGCTTTGCATGTGCCTGACACCGTCGCTGGCCAAGGCGGTCCGGATCAGAGTCTCAAGCAACGCAGGCATACGTCGATCTAAGCTGTTCAACCACGTTCATGGGTTTGAACGCTATCTGGGCAACGACCCACATGATGGACAAAGTGGACTACGGATGAGTGCATGGAACACACCAACTGTCAACACAAACACACAAACACACAAACACAAACACACAAACACACAAACACACATACACACATGCAGACACACATGCAGACACACACAGACACACAGACACACAGACACACAGACACACAGACACACAGACACACAGACACACAAACACACAAACACAAACACACAAACACAGAAACACAAAAAAACACAAAAAAAACAACAACAAACAAACAAACAAACACACAAACACACAAACACACAAACCCACAAACACACACACACACAAACCCACAAACACAGAAACACACAAACACTCAAACACACAAACACACAAACACAGCAACACACAAACAGACAAACAGACAAACACCCAAACACACAAACACACAAACACAGACACGCAACCACACAAAACCACACAAACACCAAAAAAACACACACACACAAAAACGGACCAACGCACAAACACCCAAACACCCACACACCCAAACACCCAATCAACCAAACACCCAAACACCCAAACACCCAAAAACCCAAACACCCAAACACCCAAACACCCAAGCACACAAACAGACAAACAGACAAACAAACAAACACCCAAACACCCAAACACACACACACAAACACAGACACAGACACACACACACACACAAAACCACACAAACACAGAAAAAGACACACACACACACACACACACACACACACACACACACACACACACACACACACACACACACACACACACACACACACACACACACACACACACACACACACACACACACACACACACACACACACACACACACACACACACACACACACACACACACACGCAAACACACAAACACACAAACACACAAAACCACACAAACACAGAAAAATAACACAAACACACAGCCACACAAACACACAGCCACACAAACACACAAATTCACACAAACACAGAAAAACACAAACACAGAAAAACACAAACACACAAACACACAAACACACAAACACACAAACACACAAACACACAAACACAAACACACACACACAAACACACAAACACACACACACACACACACATGCAGACAACCACGCAAACACCCAAACACCCAAACACCCAAACACCCAACACCCAAAGACACAACCACACATCCACACAAACACGCAAACACAAACAAACACACACACAAACACACACAACCACACGCAAACACACAAACACACACACACACATGCAGACACACATGCAGACACACAGACACACAGACACACAAACAGACAAACAGACAAACACCCAACCACAGAAACACCCAAACAGCCAAAAACCCAAACACCCAAACACGCAAACACACAACCACACAAACACACAAACACAGAAACAGACAAACTGACAAACAGACAAGCAGACAAACACACAAACACACAAACAAACAACCAGACAAACAAACAAACAAACACACACACACAAACACAAAAGCACAAAAGCACACAAACACACAAACACACAAACACACACAAACACGCAACCACACAAACACGAAAACACACAAACACGCAAACCTGCAAACACGCAACCACACAAACACACAAACACACACACACACACACAAACACACACAAACACACACAAGCACACAAACACACAAACACGCCAACACACACGCAAACACACACACAAACACACACAAAAAACACACACACACACACACACAAACACACAAACACACACACACACAGACACACAGACACACACACACACAAACACACACACACACAAACACACACACACACAGACACACACACACAAACACACACACACACACACACAAACACACAGACACACAGACACACAGACACACAGACACACAGACACACAGACACACAGACACACAGACACACAGACACACAGACACACAGACACACAGACACACAGACACACAGACACACAGACACACAGACACACAGACACACAGACACACAGACACACAGACACACAGACACACAGACACACAGACACACAGACACACAGACACACAGACACACAGACACACAGACACACACACACAGACACACAGACACGCAAACACGCAAACACGCACAAACACAAACACACAAACACACGAACACAAACACACACACACACACACATTCACCGGCCGTCCGAACAAGCAGACACACAGATGGAGGCCAACCTAAACCTTATATGTCAACATGATTCAAGGGCTCCCCCTGCTTTCTGCCAGAAAAATCTGAACAGAACCCAAAGCACCTGACAACCTCAAAAACATGCCCACAGTGAAGCTACCTCTTTGGGCTTGAGGGAAACCAAAAGAAAACCACCTCTTTGAAGGAATCCAACCCATTTGCGGGCTCCCAGTCTCGCCTCACTTGGCCGACTTTGTGGCCACACGGGCGAGACCTGCCATGGAGCCTTGGGACCTCGTTTCGTGACGAGGGCGTCCGTTTCAGCACCCAACCACGGCTCTTGGGACACGGGATCAAAAAACACGGGAACCCACATGAAAGCATAGGTGGCCATCTAAACCAGGGCCCTGTATCTTTCAAGGAAACCAACCAATAAGGACACCTATGCATGAAAGGAACTGCTGTGGGTAAGATCGCCATGATGGTGGCTATAATATGGAGAATTGCTTTGAGAAAGCCATCGGCCATGGGTGGTGTGGAGACATTGGACATGGATCCTGGCGCTCAAAGCCCTTCAAAAACCCAGGGGGACTAGCAAAACTTCAGGGACATGAGCGTTCGGTCGCCCTCAAATCAGCTGAGACCTGCATGAGATGATGTGTCGGTGTCAAGACCGAGTCTAAGATGCAACAAGAGATCTTCTGATTTCGCCTCTGTTCTAGAACCTCACTTGCTGAGTGGATGGCCCAAAAAAAGTTCAAACTTTATATTTACCACTAAAATGGTCTTCCCAAAAAGCTTAAGTTCATGAACTCAGGAAGTGAGGAACAGCAAAGGCGTGGCGGAAACAGTGCCTTTGTTGGGGTGTTCAACGCCACTCACGCTCTGAACAGCTTCACACAGAAACAAGCCTAACCATCATAAAAGGAATGGCAAGGCACCGCTCAAGGACTGAGCTGATAAAAGGCGAGCCCGGCAACTGCGATTTCATAAAACACCCGCAACACGCGCAACACCAAGGTCCAGCCAAACACTCAACAAACAAACACTCCCGTGTCCAGAAAGACAAGGTAAGAACCATTGATCTTGGTGGCCCCTTCTGGCTCACTCCTTCAGTAATTTGTTGCCCTATTTGTCTGTCTCACCAAAACGGCCCTTTTGAAGAACTGAAACGTCGAGAACATTGGCCGGCGAGTTTGCTTGACCTCTGGCACGTACAACTCTTTAAAGTTTGACAGAGCCAGCTGGTCTTTGATAAGCCAAATTGACGTGACAAAAACATACACACATGAATCGAACGATCGGTCTTGCGAGTCTTCCGCTCAGTATCCGCAGAACCTAAAATCATGCCAGGACCTCACGGAACGGCATTACTTGAACAATATCCAGAACCCATTGCCCTCCCATCCACTAACATGGAACCTGCCTGAGGGGTCCTGGGAAGACTGCTTTTCTTTGAAAGGCCCCCCCTCTGGTGGGTTCCATGTTAGTGGACAGTGTAACAGTGTAACTTGCTGTTTTCCCAAGATAGACCGGGTCGTAGCATTTACGTGTTTTTTTTGGCGCTCTGCGCTCTCTGCCTGCGCTGCCAGGAATTCTTCGCGGCTCACCTCAGAGATCAAGCGGACGGGATGCACCGAACGGGTAGCAAACACAGAGGTGTCTTAATTTAGGGAACCCAAAAAGTGGTTAGCTTCCAGTCGGTTTCCATTTATAAACCAGCCCCAAAAAATTAATATACTCATGAACAAGATAAATACGTCCGGCAATGATCTTGATTGGGAGCCCCTGAAAAGTGGCTGGCGGACATTAATCCGCCAAAGGGTGGACAGTTGAAAGTCGTACTGATATCAACATCTGTGTCTGAAGCACCAGATAGTACTAGCAACTTGGTCAATGCTGCCATAACCATGACATCCAAACTGATACAAGCAACTCAATAAATTAGCTACGAATGTGTTAACAATAAATCCACTTGCAAATCCGTCAAGAAGTCAGTTGTGTTCTTACATATGCAAAGCGTCACATACAGCATTGTATCGTTTAATTGACTCCCGGTTGTTGACCGCAGGGTCTGAAGTCATGCCAAATAGCAGGGTGCTGAGCCACCTCCTGTTGACCATCCTTGGATTCGGCACCCTACGACGGCAATCATATGTAAAAAGACCTTGGAGAAAAGGCTTCTGTTCAGCTTGGTTTTAAGGGTTTGCGGCTTGTGCTGGCATGCATGTTTCTTTTCTGTGGGCTTTCCAACCGAAGGAAAAATGCCCATTGCGGACAGTGCCCATACTTTACTTGGAGGATCACTACAAACATAGGTGGCCTTGTGGAAAAATAGATGGCCCGAACGACCATCTAAACCAATACCATCTACTTTTAACCAAACTAACCTACAAAGAAAGGACACCTACAGTGGATGAAATCCTGCACCAGTTGAAGCCATGGTTCAAACCATGGTTTGTTGGTATTTAGCTTGGGGAATCGAATCATTCCGTTGGGTTTCTGAACGGTGGTGCGTTGGATGGATTTCGCAATCATCCACAGCATGACTAAAGGATCCATCAGCAACAAGGGCTAAAGGATCTTAATTGCTTCAGTCCGATGCCGTCGGCATCAGAATGGATTTAAAGGCAGTCTGCTGCATTTTTTTGCTTGGAAGGGGTCCTTGGAAGCCACAAAAAACCAAGGCCACTTGCCTCATGGCTTTTGGCGCTGTTTTGCTGGATCATGTTGGTGGATTTCAAAAATCCAGTTTCACCCCTTTCAGAAAATTAACAAAATGAGGATCTCGCAAACAGCGCTTCCCCATGTACAAAGGCTTAGATCCATGCCCGGCCATCAAGGTCGGTGTCTAGCTGATCATAGATCTGCGCCTGAGCTTTGAGGTTGATACTAAAGGAGCGCTCAAAGGGAATCGAACTTCGGAAAATAGAAAAATGAAAGGAAGGATCACATAGCGTATTTTGGGCAAACGAACAAGTACCCTCCCAGCAACCAACATGGAACCTGACCTTTCGGGAGGTGCTGGTTTGGACCAATTTCCTTTTAAAGGGATCCCCTGTCAGGTTCCATGTTAATTGGTGGGAGTGCAGTTGCCGCAATTTGCGGATTGGCTGCGAATGTCTGTCACGGATTTATCGCAGGGTACCAAGGCACACACAGGTTTTCCACGTGATTTTTGGATCCTCAGAATCCGCCAACGCTAGAGGAGCAAGTAGACAGGGGACCTGTCGAGTCTGGAATCATTCAGCACAGAATACAGGAAAGTTGCGGGACGGCAAACGTGGGACATCTTGCCACAACCCTGCAGTGCTGCCGCATCATGTTAAAATATGTTCCTTGAACCCAAGTTCTTTACTAAAACAGGTCTGAGCGTGCCAAACGTCGAAAATTATACACAAGTCCTTCGGAAGTGCCAGGCCAACAGTGGTGCAGCAGTTGTATGGCTGGGGAGCTGGCTACAAACCAGCTCACGATTTTGGAGGGTACTCAAGTGAGACAAGGGTCAACTGCCCCTTGCCCAAGCCAACTGAAACCGAGCACTTGTCAATCAACTCTAGGCTGGAATTAGGACCCCAGCAAAAAATAGGTTTTGCCTGGTTAGTGGAACACAAATTGACCGCAAGAAAGCAAAAAACAAAAAGGGGAGCTAATTGTGGGGAGAACTCCGGTCGCTTTTGCACAAGACGTGTATGAAACCAAGTCGAATGGGCGCAACAAACAACTACACCGACGTAAATCCAGTCTACGTTGCACACAACTAAGCCAAAACGAAACCAATAGCAAAGCATCACTAAATCTAGAGTATTGCGAAACATGTCTCAGCGCAAAGTCCACTGAAACGGAAACTTAACCTTCCCTTACTTCAAGGGACATGAAGAACATGAAGGCACGCCAGCATGTGGATGGCCTTTACGTCCTCTCCTTTTATTGGATTCCCTGATCACTACCCACGTGCCCTTGCTTTGACCATGAAAACGCCCAGCATCAATTTTCACGATGTATGCGCAAGCATACAAGTATATGTACATAAATTGTATGATACAGTGCGTAGGACATAGGGCAATGTGCTTCTAGGTGCACGGATCTCAAAGCAAACGGGCATACAAGAGCAAGCTACACAGCATATGCCTGAGTGACAGATTGACAAGCAAAGAACACTATCATTATATAAACCCATTGGAGGACAATCGTGAAATTGACACACATTGCCATCTTCGTACAACACACATCATTCCAGAAATCACGAAAGCCGGTCCAAATCCGCCGACCCTCTGCCTCCCGTCCCAGCCTCCTGCAGAGGGGACCGGCGTGGGATGCAACTGGAAGTGATTGGAATGAATGATAGTCCCTGGGGGACACGCCCGAACGCACAAAAAGTGGATTTCCAGGACCGGTCCCCTAAGACCAGTCCTGGGACCAGTCCTGGGACCGGTCCTGGGACTGGTCCTGGGGCCCTGGTTCTGCTGTTTCAGATTACTTGTAGTCAGCCAAAACCGGGCCGGTCCCGGTATCAGTCCCAGGACCGGTCGAAACTGGCCAGGACCGAAGACCGTTTGGTCCTGGAACTGGTCCCAGGACTTGTGGGACTGGTCCCAGGACCGGTCCTGGGACTGGTCCTGGGACCGGTGCCAGGACCGGTCCTGGGACCAGTCTGGGAAGCCGGTACTTAAAAAAGCTCCAGAAAACTTTCCGGACTGGCACCCAGGACACTGGACAGGGTCCCAGGTCGTCACTGATTGCGACCAGTTGAGGGGGACCAACAGCCTTGTTTCTAGGACCAGCTCAACGTGACTTCGGCACAAACCGGCCCGTGCGGTTATTGACGGACGAGCTGTCATCTGTCTGACTTTTCCGTTAATCCTTGTGGTAGTAGAGGATCCCTGGATCTATCCGCGCCAGACTGGGACCAGCCTGGATAGGGTCCCAAGTCCCGGTCCCTGCCGGCGACCGGTCCAGGGCAACTTCGGGAGGGCCAGTTTCAGGGCGACCCCGGGAGAGGCGCCAACTCGAAGTGACTTGGGCGCAAGCCGGCCCAAGCGGTAATTAACGGACTAGCTGCCCTATTTCTGACTTTTCCGTTAATCCTTGTTTGTGGTCGTAGAGGATCTTATAAGTGGTCCCTGGGTTTGCGGACGTGTTTCAGGACCGGTCCTTGTGACTTTTCCCTTAATGCGCCGAGGGTCGGCGGCAGCAGGCGGGAGCCTGGTTAATATCCCAAAGCCTTGGCCCAATGCCGGGGCTGGCCCGTTGATTCCCTTGACCTTAAGAAGACAAATCTCGAAAGAGGGCTTCTACCAGAGGCCATGCCTGTATTTCTCGCACCACACGGGGTCAAACAGAGCATCAACTACAAACCTTCCGCACGAGATCAAACGGCACATTGAAGCCACTTTATGGCTGTAGTCACAAGAAACCCATTTTGTTTGGACGGTTTTAAGGAACACCAAAACGAAACCACAACAGAGGGCCCGTATCTTGGAAGACACCCGCTGTGACCTGTCCCAGACCCAGCCTTCAGCTGGCTATCGAGCACCTGTTCGGGCGAAAGAAAGCTGGGATTTCGTTGGGGACTGCCACAGAATGGCCGCAGTTGGGACTGATTGAAAAATGGGGACCTCCAAAAAACAGAAAGGAATTTTGTGGGAGGCTGGCTCCCAAACAAAGGTACGTTTAGCGTCCCTTGAAAACCAGCCAAACAGCAATACCTGAAGCACCTACAGGCAAGCAAGCAGGCAGGCAGGCAGGCAGGCAGGCAGGCAGGCAAGCAAGCAAGCAAGCAAGGCAGGCAAGCAAACAAGCCAGCATACAAACAAACAAACAAACCAAACAAACCAAACAAACCAAACAAACAAACAAACAAACAAACAAACAAACAAACAAACAAAATACACAGACCAAACACAACTTCAAACAACAAGCCACCAAGCAAACTAACGAACACGCAAAACAACAAACAAACTGTGCAAACAAAGAAGAAAGCACAAAAGCACGAAAGCAACAAAGCAAGAAAGCAAAACAGCACGCAAGCAAACACAAAACCAAGAAACAAAACAACGACACAAAGAAACACAGGAAAGGCAAACAACCAGCCAACCAGCCAACCAAACAAGCAAACAAAGAAAACAGAACAAAGCAAACCAAACAACACACACACACACCAAAAAAAACAAACAAACATGAACAACCAAGCAAACTAACAAACACGCAGGCAAACAAACAGGCAAACAAGCAAACAAACAAACAAACAGGCAAACAGGCAAACAACCACACACACACACAATCACAAAAATCTACAAACACGCACACAAACAAACAAACAATCACAACAAACAAGCAAACGAACAACCATACAAACAAACAAACAAACAAACAAACAAGCAGGCAAGCAAGCAAACAAGCAAACACACACACAAGCAATCAAGCAAACAAGCAAACAAAGACAAACACATAAACGAGGGAACGAGTGAACGAACCAACAAACAGACAAACAACCAAAACAACAACACAACAACAACACAACAAACCAGCAAACACAAACACCCAACTGCACAGAGAGACAAACAAGTAAGCACACAAGCACGAAAAAGAGGAACAACCAAACAACAAACAAAGACAAAAGGAGACAGAAAACGAAAACAGACAGAAGGACAGAAAGGCAGGAAGCCAGAAAACAGAAAGACAGACCGACAGGAAGACAGACAGACAGAAAGACAGAAAACCACAAAAACAGAAAGACGGGAACACAGAACGACGGAAAGACAGAACGACAGGAAGACAGAACAACATATATATATATATAAAAACAAAAAACAAAAACAGACAGAAAGACAGAAAGACAGAAAGTAGATAGACAGAAAGACAGAAAGAAAGAACAACAGGAAGACAAACATAAAGAATGACAGGAAGGCAAAATGACAGAACGACAGGAAGACAGAAAGACAGTAAAACAGACAAATACAGAAAGCAAAACAGAAAGAACAAATGAAAGAAACCGTAGAAGGACAGAAAGAAAGAACGGAAACAAAAACAAAGAAAGAAAGACAGAAGGAAAGAAAGAAGGAAAGAAGGGCTGCTGCTATTGCTGCTGGCAATTATCCTGGGAACCACAGGTGCCCGGGTACCAATAAACTCTCTATCCTCCGGCAAGCGGCTGGAGTACATCTTGCAATCGGCCTGTTATTGATGCTTCTGCTGCTGGTGTGCTCTGCATGCATGGACCCTCTTTGTCGCAAAAGCAGCGGCACAACCAGACCGACTGACCCGCAACCCAACCATCCCTTCACCAGAATTCGGAGAGAACTTGGGATCCTTCTAAGCTTCAAAGCAACAGGTGTCTTTTTTCTTCGCTTGCGGGTACCAATTTGCAGGTTGGTGTTAAAATGGACACCAAGGGGAAAACCGAAATTTCTGGGGATGGCTCCCTTTACTTAGACACCAGTGGTTTTTATTCAGACACCAAAATGTTCCCCCGCCCAACGCCAAGCGCCTGGGCTTTGTGGAACTCCTGGAGGCTCACGTCCCCGTCCCCATCCGCGTCCAAACGTTCAAAGAGGGCCGCCTCAATGGCCACGGGGCGGTGGCTTCGGCACGTTGCTGAGAATATTTATCTGGGGAAACCGCAGGGTGCGGGAAACCAGGGGATTTGTTTGGTAAACATGTTGCGTTTCACCTTCCCCTGAGGTGCCCCGCTGGTGAATTGTGACACCTACCCCGTTTCTTGAAGGCCCAGTTTACTGCCAATAGTAGCGCTGGGTTCGGCAAAGATCTCCGCTGCGTCACATGGATCCCCAAGAGCGGCAAAGGCTTGATCTTTGTTTGACTGAAACCCCAAGAAATCAACAAAGCAACCGCTTAGGTCAAAATCACCCGGTTGCAAGCTAACTCGCGTTCCCAATGGTAAGGATTCAGCTTCAACGGGACCCTACCATTTCGAAGGCCTTTCTTTTGGATTGCTTTTGCTCAAACAGAAACTGCGAAACGCAGACGGGCTGCTTCCTTATTTGGTTGGTATTTATACTGGGTGTGGGGGATACTCAAAAATCCTTTGCGGCTTCCGTTAAAGGCGCAACACGTACATGCATCAACACTGATGTGCGGTGGTTGTCGTTCATCTTTCATACCTTTTTGGGGTCGCTTTACAGGGCTTTCGCGCGCTCTTGCCGCGCGTTGTGCGACTTTGAGACAAACCTTATGCGGAGACAAAGCACACAGCACGCTGCACATGTCGACCCAAGTGTAAGTATAATTCATGTGTAGGCACATAAGGGACACATGTTACGTATTTATGTATAAGATATGAGGACGCCTTTGTTGCTGGGATTTAAAGGGACACCAAGAGGAGGCTTCATCATTTCGGGGGGTGCAACAAACGAACGACCCCGCGTTTCTGAGCACTGAGTGCGCGATCTTTAAGGAGTTTGGGGCTGGCCAAATGAAACAAGCACAGCAACAACTGGTGGGGGTCCAATCTTAAACAGGAGACACCCATACGGTTCATTTGGCACACATTTCTCAACTCAGGGCCTCGCGTTGCGACCCTCCGGTGAGGCCAGGTGCGCCTGAGCGCCATCGGCGACGGCCGATTTTTCTGGGGTTCTCGTCGCTGTTCCGTTTGCAGATCCGAACAACATGCTTGACTTTTCGCGGCGTACATTTGGACATCCAACCACCAAACACTAAAAAGCGAACGAGAAAAAACAACAACAACACCAAGATACACCAAGATAACTTTACCTGTTCGAGAATGGTAAGGAGGTTCGGAGAGGCCTTGTCTCTCTAGCCGAGTTGGGGTTGCCTAGCCATGGCAACTGCTCTGCCTATAAAGTGGGCAAGGATTTGCGCGTCAAGACCCATCTTGAGGGCTTCAGCCATGGACAAACACACAAAATTGGACAACACGGCGCCACAAAGCACATGAATTTCTGGCCAGATCAAATACACAAACATTACGCAAACGGGCTTCCAGAAAAAAAGACACGGTGCTTCCTGAAAAGGACACAGTTTCTCCGGGTGACTCAGGGTAACGTGCAAGTCTCCCGGGGAAAACACAGAATCTGCCAGCCTTTGGGCCTGCAAGGCTGCGTTGTTAGCTTGATTGGTCGCTGGCTGGCTGGCTGGCTGGCTGGCTGGCTGGGTTGGTTGGTTGGTTGGTTGGTTGGTTGGTTGGTTGGTTGGTTGGTTGGTTGGTTGCTTGGTTGCTTGTTTGTTTGCGTGTCTCGGGCTTGCCGAAAGGCAATGCTTGATGCTTCCAGCAGTTCGGCTTGGCCAGGTCGGGTCTACTTAATTCTGACACCCTGTCAGCGATAATCGAACGTGACTTGAACAGTGCGAGTGATGCAAGCCACAAGAAACCATTGCAGAGATGGCGCTTGCCATCTGTTCCTCGCAAGAAGCGCCGCCACTTGAGTCACAATCAACACCCTGTCAAAACTCACATGCACCCAAAGCAATGAGGATCATTTTCAAAAGGCGGTGCCTATTTTCCTGGTTGGGATTGATCCTTGCCATCGACCCTGGTTGAAAAAGGTGGCCTTACGACCAAAGGTCGGAATCGTACTGTCCGTTCTTGGGTCTTACTTGGATTACGCTCCCCGCACAGCTGTTCCTCCAATACCGGCAGCCAAGAGCCTGCAGCTCTCATGGTTGTGTTTGTTTCAGAGACTCTTTGATGGACATCATTTACATGGAAATTCACGCACCAACCATATTAGGAATGTCCCCACCATAGCCATTTACCAAGATCTGGTCAAAAGGGGTACCCAACCATTGAGGGTCTTCCCCATCAACAATTCATAGCCACGTCGGGAGTGGTCAACAGGATGGCATATTTTTGGACCCTGGTGCCGCGTTGTGCCGCATTTTAAAGGGGATGTGCAAAAGGGCCCATCATTTTTGTTTTATGTGGTTATGTTTTTTTCAAAAAACAACAAACAACATCATAGCACATTGAACTCGATGCGCGGAATTGCAGAAATGCAGCATAACTCAGGCGCAAGCCATGCTTGGACGAGATGGCGATGCATCCTTAAGCGCAGAAAAAAAAGCCAACGAGAAATGCTGTTTGGTACATCTGGCGTTGTTTTGAAATGTACTCTGCTGGCTTCTCAACTTGAGACATTCACTCATTCGGCTCCCGCGCCCAACACATGTTGCAGGCCGGCAAAAGGCAGACTGGCAACATGCAGTCGGAAAGAAGGGTCTGATTCAGGAAAACTACCAGCCACCATGTTGCAGCCAGCATTTGATTTGGGGGCTTTGTATCCTGAGAAGTCATCTCAGGGTAACAGTTCTGCTTGCGGAATGAGACATGGCAGTGGAACGTTTCCATTCAATTATGTAAATGCCGTACATCCAAATGCAGCTCGGCTGCTGTACGGCTCTTCATCTAGGTGCGTGCGGATGACAAGTCAGGACGGAATGATGCTGATTCCTTGCACAGCTCTCAATCATGGCTGCCATAATCCGCACCGACACCCGAATGAGGCGCTGTGGAAGCTATGAGCAGCAGTTCAACTGTACAGTGAGCATTGCCTGGCTAACCAGAAGGATGGCTTTCCAAATAAGTCATATTTGGGAGTGTCATTTTTTCAGGGACCCCCCAAAACGGATTTCGGTCTTCCCCCAAAATGGATTTTGGTTTTCCTCTTGGTGTCCCTTTAAAACCACCAAAAAGGGGTGCCCCCCGAAAAAAGACGAGCCACCCACAGGAGCAGCCACGAACCGAGCCACTGGCATTTGGACTCGCGCTCGGCGATGCCTTCCTCAGGGCGGTCACGGGACACCAAACACCTCTCGCCGCCTTCTGACCTGAGTGGGTCAAAATCGCCGAGCTCGGAGCAGGTTCAAATGGCTGGTCCAAAAATGGATTCCCCCAAATGGGCTGCCCTGGTCAATGATCTGAACCATGGACGATTTCATCCGCGATCTTGTAGTGGTTTAATTTTCACCCACACCCAGTTGATTGGCCTAGTCCATCTTTTGGGCTTGCCACTAAAATGGTCTTCCCAACAAGTTTAAAGTCCATGAACTCGGGAAGAGAGCCTTCATGGGTGATCTCAAAAACACTATGTGTCAAGAGACTAGAGTCGGGCTGCGACCACATCAACCTCAAGCGGCCAACGGCCGCGCTGAACCATGTGCTGCTTGAGGGTTGCTGAGTTGTTGCGCATGTTCTGTGGTGATGTTCTACGAACATGTGTGAAGTGTGACGGGGCCAGGACTGCAGAACGGCCTGCTCCGGAAAAAGCGATGCTTGGAAGGCACAGCAAGAGAAAAGGGCCCCCCAAATGAAACAGCACGCGCGAGTAATTTGTAAACGGGCACGCACCAAATCAAGTCAAAACAAGTCTGGACTGTGCACGCCTGAACACCGCGTGCAGCATTTTGCATGGAACTTTAAAAAGAAACGCTTACACACACCTCCTAGTTCAAAGTGTTTCAAAGATAAATTTAAATGTGGGAGCCGGCCACCACACGGAAGGACGACACAACAGGTTTCAAAACACAATTGTATGTTCAACCCGGCTGCAAAACCGCACGCTCCAAAGTTTGGCTTGGAGCAAGTGCTTCCAACATTAGCCCCCTGAAGAGGCGGTTGATCTCCTTTCCTCTTGAAACCATCAGGGGGGAACCCTGTTGAGCAAAACCCACGCAACCGCCCCACAGAAGTGGCTCAGCTCGAAGCGCAGGGTTCGACGTCAGCTCCATGCCAAGACCTCGATCCAGAAACTCCAGCCAGTGCCCGAAGAATCGAAAAAGCCTCACTCACTTCCTGAGTTGACTGGGTAGAAAAAGTCCAAACTGCTTGTTTACCACTAAAATTGCCTTGCGCAAAAAGACTTCCTGAGTTGATTGGGCAGCAAAAGTCCAAACTGTTCGTTTGCCACTAAAATGGCCTTCCGCATTTGTTTCTCAAGTCCGTGAAATATATGAGTGGAAATCTACTTTTGTGAAAAAGTCCAAACTGCTATTGTTTACCACTAAAATCGCCTTCCGCCAAATTTGCTTTCAAGTCCATGAGTGGTCATCTACTTTTGTTTGGTCCCAAAAATGGGTTTCTGCGCGCCCTTTCGCACACCTGTCGCAGACTTACGCGGCCCGAGGAATGGAACGATTTAGGTCCACAATGATTTCGGGAAGCAGGTTTAATTACCAGGGTTCGACAGGATATACAAATATACACCTACACGACGCCATATTGCGGCACCCCAAATTACCAGTTGTGTCTTCCCTTTGAAGCAACCCCCCCAAACAGGCAGGCTGCCCTCGAAAGGAGAGAACACTTTATCGACGAACTCCACGTGCTCAACTCAATCTAACCCCCTCGTATTGCATCGAAACGTGGGGGGGGTGACAAAACAGCAACCCTCTTTGGGGATGCCCCCAACGAGAATTCTGCGCAAAGCCCCACAGTTGCCACAACTCTCGTACATAGTCATTCGTGCGATGTGAAATAGTGCGCCCCCGACCACTACCCATCGTTGAAAGTTTCCATGGTGCCTGGACGGATTGGTGAACGTGGCAACCATGTGATACCTCAACCGCCTCCCCAAATTTGGACGTGGACCCGCCAAATTGAAGCGATCCAAAAGCGCGCCAAAAGAGGGATGCGGACCCCAAATCCCAGTTTTCCTCGTGGTTCTCCTCAGCCACCTGACCCTGAGAAAAGAACAACACATAGGCCGCACAGTATCGCTTGCCAGGGCGATCTCTGGGGCCCCGGCTCTCACTGAGAGCCTCGTTGTGAAGGCGATTTCACCGAGACATCTTGTTGCCGATGCGAATAGCACATTTCAACTTCGGGACTTTGGAGTTCTTTGGAGTTCACTAAACACCCACTAACTCTACAAACAACACCCCCCCCCTCATCTCCCCCCCCCAAAAAAAAAAAACAAAAAAACAAAAGAAGAACACGGACCTGCGCCACTCGTTGCCACTTAGCCACTGTTGCCCATCGAAAAGTGTGTCCCCCCCCCCCCCCCCGATTTGGGGGCTCAGAGGTTGCAAGCTCGGGCAGAAGCCAAAATCGTCAAGAAAGGTTCTTTATAAAAGCCATTTGGGCTCTATGTTTGTTTGTTTGTTTGTTTGTTTGCTTGTTTGTTTGTTTGTTTGCTTGTTTGTTTGTTTGTTTGTTTGTTTGCTTGCTTGCTTGCTTGGTTGCTTGCTTTGCTTGCTTGCTTGCTTGCTTGCTTGCTTGCTTGCTTGCTTGCTTGCTTGCTTGCTTGCTTGCTTGTTTGTTTGTTTGTTTGTTTGTTTGTTTGTGTGTTTGTTTGTTTGTTTGCTTGTTTGTTTGTTTGTTTGCTTGTTTGTTTGCTTGTTTGTTTTTGCGTGCTTCTGTCCTTCATTTCATATTTACATGTTTTTGTTTGCAAATACAACGTTCTGTTTGCGTTGATTGTGGTCCCTGAAACTGCTGGCCTTCCCAGCCAGCCTGCCATAAGAAAGGGAACCACATCAACGAATTTCCGGAATCGAAGGGAAGCCGATCCGTATGGCCTTTGAACAATCTCACGTCGAGTGGCCGAAAACTGTTGTGCTCGCAGACCCAGATTTAGATGCTCTTGGTTTTGAAAGGTACTCGCGCCAAAAAGGACATTAACCAGTCCAAGGTTGGCAAGCTTCATTCCCAGATTCAGAAAAAATGCTGGTTCTCAGCAGGGAATGAGGGAATGATCTATAATCATCCCCTTTGGCTTCCTTTTAAGGGAACCCCCTTCCGGTGCATTCCCAACACCCTGGGTCATTCCCTTCTGAGCACCTAGTTCTAGTGTGTCATTCACACCGAAAGAAGCGAACAAAACCGTGAACTCCTGACTTGCCGGACCTTGAACTGAACTTCCAGCCGACTTCCCCAACCGCTCAGCTCGACGCCTCCACGGCTTCCCGCAGCCAGCGGCACTCCTTCTCCGCCACCTCCGACAGTTTTTGGAGGCCTTCTTCCAAGGCCTGCCGAGTTCTGAGCTCCGCGGGCCGCAGGGCAGGGAGGTTCGAGGTTTTTCTTTTGATCAGCTTGCCGGTGAATGTGTTTCCAGAATTCGCCACTTTTGGGTTCGGAAAAATCCAAAAATGGAACATGGCGCGGATGTACCGGGTTGGTCTCGAACATTGAGGGGGTTCCCCCCCGCTCCAAATGGCAACGGTGTTTGTTGGGTGATTCTTTTGGACAAACCCAACATGATTTGGTGACAACTCCACAAAATAGGAACGTCACGCCCTATTCGGTCCCCGTAGCCTTAGTGGCTATTCGGAAGCCCCATATTAGGAGTGGGGAATCGGCCACTTTATTTGGCAGTTTCTATTTGTTGGCGGCTTCAATGCAGGGGTGTCCTTCCTTCTATTTGCTTAAGCCCCCTGAAAAGAAATATAGGTAGTGATAATCCCCTTTAAAAACAACAAAGCAAATAGAAGCTTGGGTTTCCCTTTGACGCCACGGCCCATCACGGGGTGCGGTTCATTTCGAGTGCTTGGATGTGGAGATGATCTACATGTAGATGTATGTTCAACCATTATTGGGCGTATCGTGTTTTGCTTGTTATTGTTTCTGTTTTTGTGTTTCGTTGTGTTTATTTATTATTTTTATTTTTTTATTTTTATTTATATATATATATATATATATTATATATATATATATATATTTGGGGGGGGGGCGGGAAGTGTCCCTTGCCAAAGATGAAGCTGAGCAGTTGTGAAAAGGTGAATAACCAGTAGACAGGGAACTTCATGGCCATAACCGGAGCCTTTCCCGTTACTGGGCAAAGGCGGGTGTGTCTGCAACTAGGGCTTTTTCGTTTGGTTTCCCGGTAGAACTACCCCACCAAAGAAAGTGCCCTTGAAGCACGGCCACACCTCAAGCTGAAAAAACATGAGCTCTCGACATGACATCTCTGGCTACCTTCGCCTGAAGTCCAGAACGCCGTGGGGCTGGTTGAAACATGCCTCATGTGACTCCTACAGCATGCATTGTGCTTCTAGGAGCCTCCCTTTTGGGGGATTTCCTTGACTTCCTCCAACGTAGCGGGCAACAATTTGCTCAAGGGCTTGAACCCAACACCCCAAAACCACAGCCCAAAGCATTCAGGGGAATCTTGGCACATCTAATAATCCCCGTGCCAGGCCCAGATGGCGGCTATTCCCGTGCTGCTTGGCAACTCCTCGTTTTGTTTCTTGTGTAGCGTTGGCGTATAGACTCGCTGTTCCCAGAGGAGTACGCCATGGACTATCGGTCATTTTGACCGAAGTCCATGCGCCCCAAGCTGTTGACCTTGGGTTCTAACATGCTTAGTGCTTTATATATAGGCTTGACGATAATCCCAATTCCAATTCGGTCTCAAACTTTGGCTTCCCTTTAAACCGCCCCCAAAATGGGTACCATCAAAAAAGACACCCCCAATTGAACTAGGTATAACCTTACTTGAATCACTCAACGCAGGAATCGGCCAAGCGTGACGTTTTGGATCCGCCTGGAGTCTCGGGAAGACCCGGCAATCCTGGCACGTCTAGGGCAAACATCCGCCCAAATGACTTGAGCTATCAAACGCATGCCCCGTGACGACATACATATCTATATGTATACATATATCTGCGTGAAATGGTATGGAGTAATTGATTAGCTGAATATGCTCAGATTTAGCTAGACAATGCATGTTTAAACATGATTGTGACTATCCATATATATATATATATATAATACATATATATATATATACACTATGTACTATGTATTGTGTATACCTGGATGCACACAGAGGGAGAACGAATTGCAGGCAACACTGACTCGAAAGAATTGGTAGTTTCTATTTGGAAGTCGTATGACAAAGACTGGCTAAAGCGGGGGAAGGAACCTCCACTTGCATAACACCTCAGTCTTGTGCCACACAAACACATCGTTCCCTATTCCATATATATATATCTCTTTTAGACATCGCCGGACAGAAAGGGCAGCATTCAAACACCACCATTTGGGGCACATGCAGAAGCCCCATTTTTAAATCAAGAAGTAGAACTGCCAGGACGAGTGTCCTCTACACTCCGTTTGCCTGGAGATTAAGCTGTGACAACTCATCTCCACTTAAGATCGTTTCCCCGATTTGCGCCGAAGGTCTTTCAGCGGATAAACTTGGAGAACGCGATTACTGGGCGAGGGAAAACTTGGCAGCTGGAGCGAGAAATGACAGATCCTGCCACCGCAGCCATTCTGCTCTGCATCCTCCCCCCATCCCCCAAGAGGCCGCAAGATGATGCAAACTGTTTTGGTCTGGACCCTTTGCCCATTTTGTGTGCACAAGGTCAAACAGCTGAAGGCCAAACCAGCGAGTTAAAGGTGAAACCCAAGAGTCGCCAACAAAAACATCTAAACGATATAATCGTCAAATCTTTGCACAAGGCTTGACGGAAAGAAAAAACAGCTGCTGATGGACAGATGTCGATGCATTGTCCAGGCACACTGTTCACGTATCAGTGCAACGTCTCGCCTGAACAAACTGTTGCTTAAACACCGAAATTGCTGAAGCCTGACTAGAGCTGATACGGCCTCTCACTTCTAGAGCATGTTCACCGTTGTCGCAGCAGATTCAAGCGTGGCATAGTGTCGCTTCGCAAGGCTATACAACTGGTACTCGACTGCACAAAATGTGATGCCAGTGAATTTGAACTTGTCAGGCATCTCAAGTATTGAATGATTGCACATGATGTGTTGCATTTTCTGCTCCCGATTTTAAAGATTGAGAACATGCCCAACACGCTGCTGAGCAATCACAGGCGCATGTCACTTCCCTCTTCATGCTTGGGCAATAATCTTAGAGGTCCATCCCTCAACATCCTCAACTCTCAAAATGCTCAAATTTTAGGTGGCTGGCATTTGCATAACGTCGACCCCATATTTTTCTCAACCCCGGTTTATCCATCGGGGGGGGGTGTTTTTTGAGTTTAGTTGGGACTCAGGCCACTTTTGGAGGTTCCCCCCCGTTCATCAACGGCGTTGAGAAACAATTCTGGGGTTTGACTGCTTGACATGATCCTGGGCCGAACATTTGTGCTCATAAAACCAGTCAAACCAGCCACCCCGCTCAACATTCGCCACAGGTCAAACCGGGCCAAACCCTTTGGGCCGGGCGCACGCCTCCATGGATTCCACCACAGCCCCGTCGAGCTCGGACTTCACCTCATCCGGCCGAGGCCGCAGCGGTTTGCGCCGCTCCTCCGGCTGGCGTTTGGCGTTCACCCGTCAATGGGGGCTGGGGGGGGAGGGAGGGAGGGAGGGAGGGAGGGGAGGGAGGGAGCCCAAATAAATCCCGAATAAGCCCCTCCCTCCCCCAAACCCCGTGAGTCAAATGCCGCCTTGCTAACATCGTTTGGCAAATCATGGTCAGTCGGTCTGAAATTGAAGAACCACCTTTTGATGGCTTAACATAAAATACAATATACCAAACACCCTCAGGACAGGGGCCCAAATCTGAGAAACACCCTGGTGGAACAGGGTCGCCGCCCATGGCCAATCAAGGGCTTTGAGGGATAAACCATACGCAACGTTGGATTGGACATTGCATTGCCAACCAAGGAGTATGGTTTCCCAAAAGCAATATGGGTTCGGTGTGTATCGGACTATATATATATATATTAAGACTCAAGCAACAAGTGCTGGAAAAGAAAGACATCACCTTTGTTCATGTTGTCTTTCCGGGTCTCCGCATACATTGCCAAGAAGTACAACACCTCCATTTGCTTAGGTCCCCTGGAACAAAAAACATATTTCCAGTAGTGATAGATTCCCTTGAAAAAAAAAACACATAAAACCAACAGGGGACGATAAAAAGAAAAACATATTCTGAACCAAATGGAAGTGCTTCCGAGGGGAAAACAAATAAATATTCTTAACCAAATGGAAGTGCAGTTTCCGAGTCAACTGTCCCGTGCCGCGCGGTGGCGGTCGAATCTCCCTGGGCTCCCGCGCGAACACGCGGAGCCGGCCCTCGAGGACGCTGACTGAGGAGGCCTAGAGCTGCGCATGGAACCGAACTTGGACCCTAAACGGGTTCTAATGGGGGTTGATCAGGGCTGTGGGGAATGACCACTTCTGTGATACAACAGAAAGGGCTTCCCAAAGACTATTTTCTTCATATAAAGGGGGATTCCCTTGTATCACAGACCAAAAGGATGAGATTTACCCGCATGGGAAAAGTTACCCTTGGTCATGTTGGGGGCTGAAGGGAATATTGATCAACCTCCAGTTGTTAGAATTAAAACATCTTTGGGCAGCCAAACACTGGGACAAATACATAATATTTATTCTATAATTTATTCCGCTTACAGTTTGGGGGCCGAAGGGAATATTGATCAACCCCCCTTTGATAGAATTAATTAAGAGATCTTCGGGCAGCCAAACACTGAGAAAGATGCAAATAGTTATTCTATCATTTATTCCGTTTGGGTGACATTTCCCGGATGGGAGAAGTTATTCTTTCTAAGGGTTGTTTCCCCATTCTTTCGTCACACGCGCACTCAGTGCAACGATCGGTCTTTCCAGCCGGTTTTGGCTCAGTGTTTGATTTTTTTCTGCAGCGAGCACTGACGCATGCAGAAAGTTGTCCCGCGGGCTAGGGGTAGGGCCAATAGACTAGACAACCCCTTCCCCTGACCTGCCAAAGTCATGCCGCTGCAGGCCATCGATCTTACTGGCAGCGTTCTGTTTTCAGGGGCATCGTTCTTTCCCTACAACCATCGTTCTTTCCCCAGGACCATCGTTCTTTCCCCAACCATCGTTCTTTCCCCAACTATCGTTCTTTCCCCACAACCATCATTATTTCCCTTCTTTCCCCACCCCATCATTCTGTCCCTCAGCATCGTTCTTTCAATCAAAGGTCAGTGTGTCTCTGTTATTTTTTTCCGCTTTTGCATCTGTTTTGGGTGAAAATTGGAAAACCAGAAAGAATGGGGAAGTATTGTATGAGGCCATATTTTCGGTTAAAACCCATTCTTTCCGAGCATCCAATTTTCTAGGATTTCCGGTCTTTCCTCCCGAAAGTGATGACAACTGCTGCGTGGGCTGCTGCGTGGGCCCCCATTGAAAAAATGAGGAAGTGAATTGGAAGCTTGTGGAAAACTGGCTCGCGGGCACCACTTTGGTGGGTTGGCTGATGAGGGGCCCGCGGTGCCATCAGGAGGATGCTTCAATGCTTGCCGTGAAGCCACGGGCTTTATGTTTGTCAGTGTCGCCTTGGCAATGATTCATGGCATGGATGTGGGCAACACAACAAGGGCAAGGCTGACCGCCCCTGCTTGGGAGAGGCCTGGTGGGCTGCTGGGAGTCGGCAAAGGGAGAGAATGGGAACAGTTGAGTTTTAGCCTTGCTTGGGCGGACTGCTTCGATGGTAATTGTTGTTGCATCCATTTTGGGGGATAATTGGGTTAGCTCTTCAGAATGGGGTGGTGTGGCTTAGATTCTTGGTCACTTGGCCCTAAACGGAAGATTGAGGGATCAAGGGGTTTCTCCCCACTTCTCCCAAGTGAGTTCTGGGATGCCACATTAAGGTGAAAACGACCCCTGGCGCGGAAAAACATCCCAGCCCGCCGTGAAAGTTGTTAAGCGCGCGTTGCAGGGTGAAAGTAGATGATACAATGTTCGCGAATTTCGAGAGGATTGACCAAACCCAAATGAAGCGATCGTGCCCATCTATTTCCGCCCAGCTGTAACATCGCGCATGAACGGGGCCCCTGAAGCTCATTCTCCTTTAAAGGGGCCCTCCAAAGCGTGTTCCTGTGACTGTATGGGAGGGTAAGCGAGTCAGCAAGTCAAGAAACCAAAGCAGCAAAGGCAAAACGCAACAAGCAAACATACTACACCTGGTAAATCCAAGATATGGCATGACAGTGAGAATTCGGAAGCCTAATTTACAAAGCGGTCGGCTTTATGGACAAATCTTACATTGTGTTGACAGCACCCCAGGTCGCTATTTGCTCACTTGCCTCAAGGACCTGGAAACAAATGGTAAGCCCTTTGGGGCCATGGCTGAAATGGGGAACACAAAAGGTCAACATATCGATCAGCTTTGGGCAACTGGCTGACTATTTTAGGGAGTGTCTTTTGTGAGGCCCGGTACCCCCTGTCAAAAGGAAACCTGATGCGCCATGGGTCCAAATCCACAACGACTAGCCCATTTGTCAATTGGGTAGAGTCACCTCGCAATCCGGGCTCTACAAGGCCCTGAGAAGGTCGCCTTTTCGTCTTCCACTTAGGTAAAGGGTGTGCCTTTTCCAGGGAACTCCCCGAAATAGGGAGTTTACTTTTTGGTGTCCCATGAAAACCATAAAATGGATACCCTCAAACCTTGTGGAAGACTGCTTTCACCATCCTGTGTTTTGATAGTGCGTGTTCTGATGATGAGCGAGTTCATCCTGTCAGGATTGCGCAGCCTCGCGCGTGGCAACAATCTCATGCCAGGTGGGCCAAGCTAAGCTACAAGAACCGCTAGGTTCCTCCGCGAGAACAAGTTGCTTACGCCAACGCTTGCACCGAGCTTACGCGCGCGCGCAATCAGCCTGCGCGCAGAAGCGTTTAATGCCAGAACCTACGCGAGGGATAAGCAGGCGTTGCTTAGCATTCTGTTTGCACGCCGCCACAGCGATAGCTTACGCCAGGCCTTCCTGGCGCGAACGTAGTGCTCAAAATGCGATTCAACACGGGGAGCAGTGCTTCGTACACGAAGCGCACTTTGGAAGCTCCAGCTCGCAAATCGCAACTCTTCAACAAGCGTGGTACACAAAGTACACTATACTTCCAACATGGCCAGCACTGTGATTGGGTTTCGAGCACGCTCCGCCTCAAAAGTTGCAACTGTTCAGTACAGCTCGCTTACGCGCAGCTTACGGGGATACTCGTAACAACGTTTGCTCATGCTTAGCTTGCATGGGCCTGAACAGAAGGGTTTGTTGCGCAGCTCAGGTGACAATTGCCCCTTTCTTTGTTCCTTCGGCGAGTCGTGGCCACATCAACTATGGAACTATGGTTGTGCTGGCTGGCACTGGCGACCACGCACACGCAAACACGCACGACCACACACACACACAAAAAGAAAACACAAATAAGCAAACAAAGAAACCAACCAACCAACCAACCAACCAACCAACCAACCAACCAACCAACCAACCAACCAACCAACCAACCAACCACCCACCCACCAAGCAACCAAGCAACCAAGCAACCAAGCAACCAAGCAACCAAGCAACCAAGCAACCAAGCAACCAAGCAACCAAGCAACCAAGCAACCAAGCAACCAAGCAAGCAAGCAAGCAAGCAAGCAAGCAAGCAAGCAAGCAAGCAAGCAAGCAAGCAAGCAACCAACAACTAACTAAACAACTAAAAAAAACAAGCAAAGAAACAAACAAAACAAACACAACCAAACACACATAACAAAGTAAACCGACCAACAAAAACAAACAAACCAAACAGACCAAACACACCAACACGCCGAACAACCCGAACAAACCCAAACAAACCATACAGCAACCACAAACAAACAAACAAACAACGTGAAGACAAGCAAGCAAGCAAGCAAGCAAGCAAGCAAGCAAGCAAGCAAGCAAGCAAGCAAGCAAGCGAGCAAGCAAGCAAGCAAGCAAGCAAGCGAGCAAGCGAGCAAGCAAGCAAGCAAGCAAGCAAGCAAGCAAGCAAGCAAGCAAGACACGCACAAGCAAGCAAACACACCAAGCGAGCAAACCAACCAACCAAACAAACACATAATAAAGCAAGCAAAGAAACGAAACCAACACAAAACCAACCAAGGAAAGAAAGAAACACACAAGCCCGGAAGCAAGCAAGCAAACAACCAAACAAGCAAACAAACAAAAACAGGCAAACAACAAAACAAAAACACTCCGATTAAACTCTGGCC